ATCGCTGTTGTTTGGGGCACATCTCTGGACTTGTTTGTTTCAGGCAGGTTTTTAGCAGCGTGGTGTGGGGTGACCTGTGCAGTCCTCAGCCTCGCTCTGAGCAGCTGCTGAGGCAGACACTGACATAATGACCTGCGGGGCTCAGAGACCAGGACGTGTGGGGAAGAGCTCTCACTCGCTGCACTGAACAGGAGCAGTGTAGACCCACTTATACAGACTGTACAGCACCAGTGTAGACCCACTTATACAGACTGTACAGCACCAGTGTAGACCCACTTATACAGACTGAACAGCACCAGTGTAGACCACTTATACAGACTGAACAGCAGCAGTGTAGACCCACTTATACAGACTGTACAGCAGCAGTGTAGACCCACTTATACAGACTGTGCAGCAGCAGTGTATACCCACTTATACAGACTGTACAGCAGCAGTGTAGACCCACTTATACAGACTGTACAGCAGCAGTGTAGACCCACTTATACAGACTGTACAGCACCAGTGTAGACCACTTATACAGACTGAACAGCAGCAGTGTAGACCCACTTATACAGACTGTACAGCAGCAGTGTAGACCCACTTATACAGACTGTGCAGCAGCAGTGTATACCCACTTATACAGACTGTACAGCAGCAGTGTAGACCCACTTATACAGACTGTACAGCAGCAGTGTAGACCCACTTATACAGACTGTACAGCACCAGTGTAGACCCACTTATACAGACTGTACAGCAGCAGTGTAATACCCACGTATACAGACTTTACAGCAGCAGTGTAGACCCACTTATACAGACTGAACAGCAGCAGTGTAGACCCACTTATACAGACTGTACAGCACCAGTGTAGACCCACTTATACAGACTGTACAGCACCAGTGTAGACCCACTTATACAGACTGTGCAGCAGCAGTGTAGACCCACTTATACAGACTGTACAGCAGCAGTGTAGACCCACTTATACAGACTGTACAGCAGCAGTGTAGACCCACTTATACAGACTGTGCAGCAGCAGTGTAGACCCACTTATACAGACTGTACAGCAGCAGTGTAGACCCACTTATACAGACTGTACAGCAGCAGTGTAATACCCACGTATACAGACTTTACAGCAGCAGTGTAGACCCACTTATACAGACTGAACAGCAGCAGTGTAGACCCACTTATACAGACTGTGCAGCAGCAGTGTAGACCCACTTATACAGACTGTACAGCACCAGTGTAGACCCACTTATACAGACTGTACAGCAGCAGTGTAGACCCACTTATACAGACTGTACAGCAGCAGTGTAGACTCACTTATACAGACTGAACAGCAGCAGTGTAGACCCACTTATACAGACTGTACAGCACCAGTGTAGACCCACTTATACAGACTGTACAGCAGCAGTGTAGACCCACTTATACAGACTGTACAGCAGCAGTGTAGACCCACTTATACAGACTGTACAGCAGCAGTGTAGACCCACTTATACAGACTGTACAGCAGCAGTGTAGACCCACTTATACAGACTGTACAGCACCAGTGTAGACCCACTTATACAGACTGTACAGCAGCAGTGTAATACCCACTTATACAGACTGTACAGCAGCAGTGTAGACCCACTTATACAGACTGAACAGCAGCAGTGTAGACCCACTTATACAGACTGTGCAGCAGCAGTGTAGACCCACTTATACAGACTGTACAGCAGCAGTGTAGACTCACTTATACAGACTGAACAGCAGCAGTGTAGACCCACTTATACAGACTGTACAGCACCAGTGTAGACCCACTTATACAGACTGTGCAGCAGCAGTGTAGACCCACTTATACAGACTGTACAGCAGCAGTGTAGACCCACTTATACAGACTGTACAGCAGCAGTGTAGACCCACTTATACAGACTGTACAGCAGCAGTGTAATACCCACTTATACAGACTGTACAGCAGCAGTGTAGACCCACTTATACAGACTGTACAGCAGCAGTGTAGACCCACTTATACAGACTGTACAGCAGCAGTGTAGACCCACTTATACAGACTGTACAGCAGCAGTGTAGACCCACTTATACAGACTGTACAGCAGCAGTGTAGACCCACTTATACAGACTGTACAGCAGCAGTGTAGACCCACTTATACAGACTGTACAGCAGCAGTGTAGACCCACTTATACAGACTGTACAGCACCAGTGTAGACCCACTTATACAGACTGTACAGCAGCAGTGTAATACCCACTTATACAGACTGTACAGCAGCAGTGTAGACCCACTTATACAGACTGAACAGCAGCAGTGTAGACCCACTTATACAGACTGTGCAGCAGCAGTGTAGACCCACTTATACAGACTGTACAGCAGCAGTGTAGACCCACTTATACAGACTGTGCAGCAGCAGTGTAGACCCACTTATACAGACTGTACAGCAGCAGTGTAGACCCACTTATACAGACTGTACAGCACCAGTGTAGACCCACTTATACAGACTGTACAGCAGCAGTGTAATACCCACTTATACAGACTGTACAGCAGCAGTGTAGACCCACTTATACAGACTGAACAGCAGCAGTGTAGACCCACTTATACAGACTGTGCAGCAGCAGTGTAGACCCACGTATACAGACTGTACAGCAGCAGTGTAGACCCACTTATACAGACTGTACAGCAGCAGTGTAGACCCACTTATACAGACTGAACAGCAGCAGTGTAGACCCACTTATACAGACTGTGCAGCAGCAGTGTAGACCCACTTATACAGACTGTGCAGCAGCAGTGTAGACCCACTTATACAGACTGTACAGCAGCAGTGTAGACCCACTTATACAGACTGTGCAGCAGCAGTGTAGACCCACTTATACAGACTGTACAGCACCAGTGTAATACCCACTTATACAGACTGTACAGCAGCAGTGTAGACCCACTTATACAGACTGTACAGCAGCAGTGTAGACCCACTTATACAGACTGTACAGCACCAGTGTAATACCCACTTATACAGACTGTGCAGCAGCAGTGTAGACCCACGTATACAGACTGTACAGCACCAGTGTAATACCCACTTATACAGACTGTGCAGCAGCAGTGTAGACCCACTTATACAGACTGTACAGCAGCAGTGTAGACCCACTTATACAGACTGTACAGCACCAGTGTAATACCCACTTATACAGACTGTGCAGCAGCAGTGTAGACCCACGTATACAGACTGTACAGCACCAGTGGAATACCATACACTGCATATAGCACCACGGTGGAGCAGTGGTTAGCGCCAGAAGAAGGTCCTTGGGTTTAATTCCACCTCCCGACCTTTCTGTGTGGGGTTTGCATGTTCACCCCATGCCTGCATAGGTTTCCTCTGGGTGCTCCAATTTACCCTACCCCTAATGAAAGCTTAAGCAGAACATCAGATTGGTAGACTACCCATGTACATTATTGCGTCTCCTCAGCCTATCACATCAGCTTCTCCAACACCCTGGCAGCCGCGCCAATCAAGACCAGAGCTTTCAAGCCTTAACCACCTCCTACCCACTTCCATCCATTTTCTTCCGCTTCATCCGTTGCCGCGTCGGGGGGGGGGCAGCAGTCTAAGCAGAGACGGCCAGACTTCCCTCTCCACACATTCTTCCTCCAGCTCATCCAGGGGGACCCCAAGGTGTTCCCAGGCAAGCTGAGAGACATACTCCTTATGTGTCCTGGGTCTTCCCCGGGGCCTCCTCCCGGTGGGACGTGCCCAGGGAGGCGTCCAGGAGGCCTCCGGAACAGATGCCCGAGCCACCTCAACTGGTTCCTCTTGATGTGGAGAAGCAGCGGCTCTACTCTGAGCTCCTCTTGTGTGACTAATCTCCTCTATCGCTAAATGAGCAGCCACTCTGCGGAGGAAGCTCACTTCGACGCTTGTATCCGCGATCTCATTCTTTCGGTCATTACCCAAAGCTCATGACCTTAGGCCCAGGGTCATAATTCACACATAGATCATCACTGAGTATTGATCATCATAGAGCACTGAACTATATGCACCAAATGTATAAACTCCAAACAAATGTGCAATCAATAAATCATTTAATGCATCTTGTCTCTTGTCTCTCTCCTGTTGACACTCACAGACACTTCATATTAATTTAGTTTTAATTCGCTCCGTACATTATGGTGATCAACTAATATCTCCACAATATCACCACATGCAGGTTTTGGCACAATAATTCTGATCCTCCTTCTAACAATTGTACATACTGTAGTCAGTACAACAGTCTGTGGTCTGTAGCCCTGCCCTGTAGTCTGTAACTCTGTCGTCTGCCAACTGTTGTTATTGTTGATAAAATTAAGATTGAGTATAGGTGATGGGGTCATGTGAGGGAGGGTTTTCCCAGATCTGTGTCCGTCTGTTTCCGGACTTCTTTATCGGTTGCTACTGATTCACAATGTTAAGTTTAGCATTAATTTCACTCTCCTTATAATTTGCATATTAAATAGTGGATTATACTTTGTGTCTTTGTCCAAGAATGAAAACAAGTTTGGCCTGCGGATGAATGCACCCAGACACGCCATCTTTTTTATTAACCAAACCCTTATATATGACCGGGCTAGTGCTGCTAATCTGGAAAGTGAGAGCCATGTTATGTGAGATTATACCCCCCCTGGGTCCTATTAAGCCTCGACCGTCGGCTCAGAGATGACACCAGAGGATAAAATGGACTTTAAAGCGTTGGACCATTCTCCGTGAACTGACTTGGACTCCAGACAAAGAGACCTACTGCTATAAATAACTGCTACCTGGTTCTATATAGACAAATGATTGCTCTAGCCCTGGGACCGAGACGCTAAGCTCTCCCCCCGGAACACTGAAGAATCATTATGAAATCGCCTCTAATTGTCCGCACGGCCGCTTGCTTTCCGAGGTCGGCAGGACTACAAACGCGGTGATGAAGGAATCCCCTGGAGGAAATGGTAAAACAGTGCTTATGGAGCTAAACACGCAGGAGGTAATGTGCGGAATGCGAGCGGAAAAAGATCCGCGGGCGCTGTATGCGTAAGTTGGACTCATTTATCAAGCCATTGTTGCATTATAAAACAAGATAATGTATTGAATGTTATTACCGCAACGTCGTACCTATTCCGGCAATCTCAAGGGTGTGAGGCGGAGCTGAGAGAAGAATAAATACTACATCCCTGGAATAGAAATGAACAGAAATTATGGACTCTCAAAAATGATTTTCGTGGAATGGTTAGTATGCTTTATTTTCCCCTGGAGGCAATTTGTCCTCTGCATTGAAACAACAGCAGTCAGAGAGTCTTTGTGAGAGAGAATAAATAAATGGACTTTTCTCCCACAACAATCGATTGTTAAAATTTTAAATGCATTGTCATCTGGATCCACCTTCGCACATCACATAAACATTACAGAGACTGCCCTGGATGTCGTTTAGAATGCCACGTACAGTGACCAACGAGACTGAAGGTTGTGGGTTCGAACTCATCATGAGACCTTCTCCACCAGCTCCCACTGATGTCTGCTGTCATTGTGTCATGGTGCTGGCTTGATTGACAGCTGCAGGGAGTTGATGAGTTGATTATGACAGGCTGGGTAAGGCGTGGTCCAGCCTGGTGTGATAACGGAGGTAGTCTTCCATCCTGAACCTCCGCTTCAGCTTCATTTTAGAGTTGTTTCTCACTGATGCAGGAGGTTTTGGTACACTCCACAGTCAATGACATTTATGTATTTACATTCATGAACAGGTATAAACATTTATTAACATGGCTCTGTGTTTGTTATCATTGTATTTCCTGTGTTGAACTGTTTGATTCTCTGATCTGTGTTGGTGAATCGACAGCTTTGACAGCGGAGGCCGAGCTCGGGTCGAGGAGAGAGACTTTGAAGTTGACGACTTTGTTACGTCCTGTTCCAGATGAAAAGACTCTGTGGAAGTGGCCAAAGGTTTAAGGGATTAAAGAGTTTTAATTTGTTAAACAAACGGCAGATATGAACCGGCAGCGAATGGAAAAGTCATTTAAAGCTCTGTGGCCCAGTTAAAGAAGTCATTATTTTATAATTAAAAGATGAAAACCTTCATGAGACTGACAGCTGACTTCACCTCTTTACTCTTTACTCCGGCAGCAAAACACAGACACTATTGGACAAACACAGACACTATTGGACAAACACAGACACTATTGGACGAACACAGACTCTTTTGGACAAACACAGACACTATTGGACGAACACAGACACTATTGGACAAACACAGACACTATTGGACGAACACAGACACTATTGGACAAACACAGACACTATTGGGCAAACACAGACACTATTGGACAAACACAGACACTATTGGACAAACACAGACTCTTTTGGACAAACACAGACACTATTGGACAAACACAGACTCTTTTGGACAAACACAGACTCTTTTGGACAAACACAGACACTAGTGGACAAACACAGACACTATTGGACAAACACAGACTCTTTTGGATAAACACAGACACTATTGGACAAACACAGACACTATTGGACAAACACAGACTCTTTTTGACAAACACAGACACTATTGGACAAACACAGACACTATTGGACAAACACAGACTCTTTTTGACAAACACAGACACTATTGGACAAACACAGACTCTTTTTGACAAACACAGACACTATTGGACAAACACAGACACTATTGGACAAACACAGACTCTTTTTGACAAACACAGACACTTTTGGACAAACACAGACTCTTTTGGACAAACACAGACTCTTTTGGACAAACACAGACTCTTTTGGACAAACACAGACTCTTTTGGACAAACACAGACACTTTTGGACAAACACAGACTCTTTTGGACAAACACAGACAAACTCTGAAGAAATTATCTGTTTGACACAATAACACGTTAAAGTCCCGGTCCAAACCACAGCATAAAGAACATGACATTATCTGGCTCCTGCTCAGTCTGAGCGGCCGCAGAGTGAAGGTGACCTGTGTGCGATAATCATAGCAGCGTGTTATCAGATCAGCGCTCGGCAACTCAGATCTAATCAGTCCCATTAGAATGTTTCCTCTGCAGCACAGGGGCCGAGCGGACACAGGCAGGGCCGGGGGTCACAGGGGCCGAGCGGACACAGGCAGGGCCGGGGGTCACAGGGGTCGGGGGTCACAGGGGCCGGGGGTCACAGGGGCCGAGCGGACACAGGCAGGGCCGGGGGTCACAGGGGCCGAGCGGACACAGGCAGGGCCGGGGGTCACAGGGGTCGGGGGTCACAGGGGCCGGGGGTCACAGGGGCCGAGCGGACACAGGCAGGGCCGGGGGTCACAGGGGCCGAGCGGACACAGGCAGGGCCGGGGGTCACAGGGGTCGGGGGTCACAGGGGCCGGGGGTCACAGGGGCCGAGCGGACACAGGCAGGGCCGAGGGTCACAGGGGCCGAGCGGACACAGGCAGGGCCGGGGGTCACAGGGGCCGAGCGGACACAGGCAGGGCCGAGGGTCACAGGGGCCGAGCGGACACAGGCAGGGCCGGGGGTCACAGGGGCCGAGCGGACACAGGCAGGGCCGGGGGTCACAGGGGCCGAGCGGACACAGGCAGGGCCGGGGGTCACAGGGGCCTAGCGGATACAGGCAGGGCCGGGGGTCACAGGGGCCGAGCGGACACAGGCAGGGCCGGGGGTCAAAGGAGCCGAGCGGACACAGGCAGGGCCGGGGGTCACAGGGGCCGAGCGGACACAGGCAGGGCCGGGGGTCACAGGAGCCGAGCGGACATAGGCAGGGCCGGGGGTCACAGGGGCCGAGCGGACACAGGCAGGGCCGGGGGTCAAAGGAGCCGAGCGGACACAGGCAGGGCCGGGGGTCACAGGGGCCGAGCGGACACAGGCAGGGCCGGGGGTCACAGGGGCCGAGCGGACACAGGCAGGGCCGGGGGTCACAGGGGCCGAGCGGACACAGGCAGGGCCGGGGGTCACAGGGGCCGAGCGGACACAGGCAGGGCCGGGAGTCACAGGGGCCGAGCGGACACAGGCAGGGCCGGGGGTCACAGGAGCCGAGCGGACACAGGCAGGGCCGGGGGTCACAGGGGCCGAGCGGACACAGGCAGGGCCGGGGGTCACAGGGGTTGGGGGTCACAGGGGCCGGGGGTCACAGGCAGGGCCGGACGTCACAGGGGCCGAGGGTCACAGCAGCCGAGCGGACACAGGCAGGTCCCGGGGTCACAGGGGCCGAGCGGACACAGGCAGGGCCGGGGGTCACAGGGGCCGAGCGGACACAGGCAGGGCCGGGGGTCACAGGGGTCGGGGGTTACAGGGGCTGGGGGTCACAGGCAGGGCCGGAGGTCACAGGGGCCGGGGGTCACAGCAGCCGAGCGGACACAGGCAGGGCCGGGGGTCACAGCTCACAGTTATTGTAACGACCTCTTTACATGTGTCCATGAAGTCACTGCAAAAAGTCAAAAATGGCTCAAGTTTAGCAAAATGGGTCTTAATTTGAGCCTTTACAACAGAATTATCTTGTTTTAAAACAAAAGAAATGGAATGAGGAAATAAAGCAAATAAAACCTCCCACCACCAAACATTCACACACAGTATACAGCTGCGGCTAATTTACAGGTGTGGCTTATATACAGCTGCGGCTAATTTACAGGTGTGGCTTATATACAGGTGCAGCTGAAAAACAGGTGTGTCTTATATACAGGTGTGGCTCATATACAGGTGCGGCTTGTATGCAGGTGTGGCTTATATACAGGTGTGGCTTATATACAGATGTGGCTTATATACAGGTGTGACTTATATACAGGTGTGGCTTGAATACAGGTGTGGCTTATATGCAGGTGCGGCTTGTATGCAGGTGTGGCTTATATACAGGTGTGGCTTATATGCAGGTGCGGCTTGTATGCAGGTGTGGCTTATATACAGGTGTGGCTTATATACAGGTTGAGGGGTTGGGCTTTTCCAGGATTTGAACCAGGGACCTCTCGCACCGAAAGCAAGAATCATAAAAGTCACACATGAACAACAACAATATCCCATGTTTTTCATTGCATCTCGCCGTGTCTGCTGTTCACATAAACACACAGAGAAGGAGTCATGAGTCCAAATCCCCTCCTGCACTCCAGGGGGAGCTCTAACAGAATACAAATACACATACTACAGCTCAATGAAAGCTGCAAGGTAAAAAGAAAGTGAAAACAGTAGAACAATTGGACACATTTTGTTCTGATTAAAGTATTCTCTGGTTCACATCGGGATCAAAAGCCAAAGTATCAACAATCGACATCAGACTGGATCAATCTGAATCCTCTTTACTTTGTCTGCAGAGAATATTCTAAAACATACCAATAAACCAGTGTCTTCATTTGGAGTAAAAATATCAGTTAACAATAAAATACTAGATTCTTGATAAAACTAAAAACAATAAAACAAGTAAAAAGAGGAGCACCAAACTCAAATGACACATTTTCCCAAATTTGAGGGATTTTGAAATTTATTTTCACTTTTTGCAGTGTAGTAAGGCAAGGCAAGGCAAGGCAAGTTTATTTATATAGCACAATTCATACACAAGGCAATTCAAAGTGCTGAACAAAACAAGAAAGCATTAAAATCATAAATTATCACAGAACATTAAAAAGAAAGATAAAAATATAAAATCCCTCAGTTGTATGCACAGTTAAACAGAACTGTCTTTAACCTGGTTTTAAACATTGTCAGAGAGGAGGCCTGTCTTCTAGTAGTAGAAGTCCAAGCACCAGCGTCTCATTCCTGCCCCAGTATGTTGTCATATATTCTCTCCCGTCAGTTTTCCAGCACAGCGCTCTCTTTAACTCTTTATCTGTGGTTCTTCTGCACAGTCTCTGCTCATTTGGCTCTGGCTGTCTGTGTAAATATATGATAGCTTCTACTTGTAATCCGCAGAGGAGAGGAGTGAGGAGTCTGGCGAGCGGGCAGGGATGCTGACGGGAGCAGAGAAAATCCCCTGACATCTTATTTTAGGCGGACTAAAGCCCCGCGGAGCACACAGCGGCCCGGTGCAGAGGGGCCCCGGGGCATAAGGCCTCCACACTCTCTCCACTTATCTCTGCTCTCAGCAAAAGCACCAGGAAAACACTCACACTGCACCAGCGACAGTCTGCGGATCACCTTCATGCGGCGGCAGGTGATGGAGGAGGAAGAAGGAGCACAGGAACTCATGCAGGTTTGTGGAGGAAGAATAATGAGACCAAAATCTGTTTTTAATCCTACACATCTGTATCCTGTACATATAAGCTGTTCTCTCTGTGTGGGGGTTTCTCTCTCTGGTCTCTTTCTAGTCTTTCTCTGGTCTCTCTCTGGTTTCTCTAGTCTCTCTCTGGTCTCTCTCTGGTCTCTCTCTCTGGTCTCTCTCTCTGGTCTCTCTCTCTGGTCTCTCTCTCTGGTCTCTCTCTCTGGTCTCTCTCTCTGGTCTCTCTCTCTGGTCTCTCTCTGGTCTCTCTGTCTGGTTTCTCTAGTCTCTCTCTGGTCTCTTTCTAGTCTTTCTCTGGTCTCTCTCTGGTTTCTCTAGTCTCTCTCTGGTCTCTCTCTCTGGTCTCTCTCTGGTCTCTCTCTCTGGTCTCTCTCTCTGGTCTCTCTCTCTGGTCTCTCTCTGGTCTCTCTCTGGTCTCTCTCTGGTTTCTCTAGTCTCTCTCTGGTCTCTCTCTGGCCTCTCTCTGGTCTCTCTCTCTGGTCTCTCTCTGGTCTCTCTCTGGTCTCTCTCTAGTCTCTCTCTGGTCTCTCTCTGGTTTCTCTAGTCTCTCTCTGGTCTCTCTCTGGTCTCTCTCTGGTCTCTCTCTGGTCTCTCTCTGGTCTCTCTCTGGTCTCTCTCTGGTCTCTCTCTCTCTCTCTGGTTTCTCTCTGGCCTCTCTCTGGTCTCTCTCTCTGGTCTCTCTCTGGTCTCTCTCTGGTTTCTCTAGTCTCTCTCTGGTCTCTCTCTGGTCTCTCTCTGGTCTCTCTCTGGCCTCTCTCTGGTCTCTCTCTGGTCTCTCTCTAGTCTCTCTCTGGTCTCTCTCTGGTTTCTCTAGTCTCTCTCTGGTCTCTCTCTGGTCTCTCTCTGGTCTCTCTCTGGTCTCTCTCTCTGGTCTCTCTCTGGCCTCTCTCTGGTCTCTCTCTCTGGTCTCTCTCTGGTCTCTCTCTGGTCTCTCTGGTCTCTCTGGTCTCTCTGGTCTCTCTGGTCTCTCTCTGGTCTCTCTCTGGCCTCTCTCTGGTCTCTCTCTCTGGTCTCTCTCTGGTCTCTCTCTGGTCTCTCTCTGGTCTCTCTGGTCTCTCTCTGGTCTCTCTCTGGTCTCTCTCTGGCCTCTCTCTGGTGTCTCTCTCTGGTCTCTCTCTGGTCTCTCTCTGGTCTCTCTCTGGTCTCTCTGGTCTCTCTCTGGTCTCTAGTGCCGTAGAGCAGACAGCAGGAGAGTGAAGGCCGTCGCATCGTGCTGCGTCTAATTATCCGGCTCTTAAAGGGACGGTGCTCGTGTTTGTGCCTCACTGGGGGGTCCGCTCCCATGGACCCCGGCGTGATGCAGACGCTCTGACCACCGGATCCTTTCGGTAATTGCCGTTAATTCGCGGAGCTTTTCCACCCCACCATTCCATTTAGAGTCAAGGCGGGTGTCCCTTAGCCCCATGTTTGGATGAAGTAATTAAAATCGCTTCATATGGTGCAACTTTTAATTCCTGCCGGTTTCCAACGAATCTGAGTGCGCACTTTGATTCCAATCATATGCTCTTGGAGCGCGAGTCCCATGGTGCTTTGCAGGCGCAATCAGGCCTCATTTACATGCTGGAGCGGAGCGCGTCCTCTGCAGATATGTCAGGGTTTGGCTGTGTTTTGTTTGAGAAGCGTCTCCTCAGCTGAATGATTACTTCCAGCGCGCACCATTTTACTTAATCAACAAAATGGAACGAGAACATTCAGAAAAAGATGTTATTGTGAAGTGAGCGCTGAAGTGAAGTGTGATTGACAATAATGTAAAGTAGATTTGTTTAGTTTGAGTGGTTGGAATCACAGTTGTGCAGTGATTCTTCAGGATATTGAGATGTAGACGGTGTTATAGAGAAAGAAAGAGCATTCTTCAGACTCATTATATCACCTCGTACACCAGCCTGACAATATATAACATATTTACTGTAGATACTGTTGATATGGGATATCATTAAAATGTCTAGACAACTTTTTGTTTGACCTACATTGGAGTGTGGAAATCGACAAGTGAGGTGTTGAGACCAAGCTAATAATTGCACGATGATGTCCAACAAGTGTTAAATGTTTTACTTTTGGGGCTATTCTGTGTGTGTTGGAGGTGTGTTTATCTTTCAATAAAACTCTCTTCGTAGCTTCAGTGAGTTAGAAGTGACTGGGGAAGTGTCCTCCTTCGTTCCTCACCACTGTAACTATAAACTAACACCTCGTCTGTTGTGTGCCTCTGTCCAGAAAACTGTTGTAGAACTAGTTTTTAACAACCGCGTAAAAGTGTCGTCTCGAAACTTTGTGACTGAAGCGTCAGTCGCCGTCGAGCACAGGGACCGGTCTCCTGCCGGGACTCTGGGGAGCACAGGGACTGGCCTCCTGCTGGGACTCTGAGGAGCACAGGGACCGGTCTCCTGCCGGGACTCTGAGGAGCACAGGGACTGGCCTCCTGCTGGGACTCTGAGGAGCACAGGGACTGGCCTTCTGCTGGGACTCTGAGGAGCACAGGGACTGGCCTCCTGCTGGGACTCTGATGAGCACAGGGACTGGCCTCCTGCTGGGACTCTGAGGAGCACAGGGACTGGCCTCCTGCTGGGACTCTGAGGAGCACAGGGACTGGCCTCCTGCTGGGACTCTGAGGAGCACAGGGACTGGCCTCGTGCTGGTCCCAGCGTCAGAACTAAACATGAGGAGGCAGCGTTTCAGATTCAAATAAAATCTGGAACTATCTTCCTGAAAATGTGAGACAAACTTCTTCAAATTCAGGTTACAAATATTTCTGTTTTATCTGAACGACTTTTCCTTCACTCTTTTGAATGCACTGTGGCTATTCATGATTTTAATCCTGTGTATAATTTTTTATTTTTATAATCTCATTCATGGAGCATCAAAAACGACTACAGAGTAAAATAAAGTGTGTCGCTCTCATTTTCCCTCCGCTCATTTGGACTCAGTGTAAAAAGTCTTGTTTAAACTCTGGTTTTGGTCGCGCTGAACTAAAATCCTTTTGTCGAGAGTGGAAGGAGTAGACACACTCTCTTGACATTCTAATTAACAAAGTAGTTCAGGAGACGCTCTGATGTGGCTCCGTTTGGCAGAAAAGTACAATTAGCTGTACATAATGAAACCAATTTGGGGGATGCTTTCACACACTGTTTGCTAAAGTGCTAATGAAATTACAAGTGCTTAGCCTCCCTGCATTAATGAATCGTTACACAATTCATTATCTAAGTATGTGTGCGGCTTGCTGCGGACATGACAGTTATATTTATTAAAGCAGGTACTAATTAAAATACAGGCTTTGCGGTAGTTTTGTGTTTTTTTTTTTATCCGCGGACAACAAAAAAAGAGTGTGTTTTTTTTTGGGACAAGCAATTAGCGGGCCCAGACAGGAGGCTTGAGCGGGGGGCAGAGGCGTCAGGAGCTCCACAGCCACAATGGTAATGAGCTGTTTGAACGAGCACGGCAAACAACAGGGAAAATTATTTATGTACAAGCGGGAGACGTCCGCGCCGGTAAACAGAGATTTTCATTACAGAAGGAACCCGTACGCAAATACACACATACGCAGAGCACACGGCGACTCACCCGGTGGTCAAGTCGGGAGGCGCTGTTTAAAGGTGGATCCACTGATAAGAAAATGAAAAGTGTGAGGGAGTAAACACATTAACTACAAACTGTAAATGATTAGATTGTTTGGCTCTGGATTTACATGAGGAGTACATTTCTCCTTTGAATTATCCTCCGTTCGGACCGATCTCCTCAGAGTCAAAGGAACCCTGTTATTTATTACCAATTAAGCATTCAATTTAATGTATTTTCATATCACAACAGCAGTCGTCTGAGGACTTTACATAGTTGTCAATTCCTCAACAACAGATCAGAGAATCAAGCACAAGCATTACGTCAATAGCACACAGGAGCCATTGGTCCACAGGGAGCGGGAACACTGTCCATAAATGTTAATCATGTTAACAAATGATCATCACCAACTTTAGACCCTCCTGCATCGACAAGGACCCAAACTAAACCAAATAATAATACATTTTGTTTATAATGCACTGTATATTTGACACCACATCTCAAAGTGCTACAAAGTCAGCAGCATAAATAAAAGCACAACACTTATAAAATCAAATAAAGAGAAAAAAAGAAATTCAACACACTGTTTGCTAAAGTGCTAAAAACAAGAGGACAATAACAACTCGGGGAGGTCCAGACTGACTGTAGATCCAGGACTCAGGCTGTAGAACGAGGACTGAGGCGGTGGAGGACTGAAGAGGCTCCCAGGCGCGGGGTGGGGTGAGGGTGGGGTGGTCCGGATCCAGGGTGTAGACCGGTTCACAGGTGCAGGGGTCCCCTCATCACGCCCTCAAACACACTTCCATTGTTACTTGTTGCTTGTGTTATCTTGACGATCATTTAGTTCCAGCTCCCATCCCTCCAGTGTCTCATTTACCTCTCCACGCCTCTCCACGCCTCGCCCACGGACCTCCTCAGACCCCCAAGGCCTGCTGCTTGTCTGGTCTGGACTCGGTTTGGCTCACGGCTGGATGTAAGGCCCATGATGGATGCTCAAAGAGTTGACCCGGCGACCAGCGAGCCAGCGGGCAAACAAGGCTGGCTCTATTCCGCTCTGCCAGGGAGAATATTGATTTTTTTGTTGTGTGCACTTTGGACACCAGCAACAAATCCAAACTGGCCCCATCTGTCTCGGGCTGGAGAGAATCCAATAGCTTTTGCATTGTTACTAAGGAGACGGCAGTGTGAGCGCCTGGAGACGGCTGTGTCTGTTTTTGTAGTGAAAGAATGCAGGCGGCCGGAGCCTCCCACACACAGATGTAGCTCTGGGGAGGCATGAACATACGAGGTGCTGCGTTTGAAGAAGCTGGGAACAAATCAAACTGACCCACTGTGGTCCTGGGGGTGTTCTCTCTGCTCTCTGCTCGTCCCGGGCTAAAAAAAGGAAAGTATCTCGGGCACCCATCCCTCGGCTGTGAGCAGAGCCAGGCCTGAGCGAGCCCACCGTGAGCAAAGATTCCTGCTTTAAAACTTCTCACACAGTTATTTCTATGACGACGTTCGACTTCAGTTTTATAATAAGCATCATCTGTGAAGTATCTATCGGGTATTTACAGAGCAGCGTTCATGAAGAAGCAACCCATGGAACTTAACAGGCACAGAAGGAACATAGGGAAACGATAAAACATTTTACTAATAAACAATAAACATGAGAAATAGATATTAGGCCAGTCAAGGCAAGGTAAAGGTGCACTTCATCCTCTGCATTTGACCCAGATCCTGATGCACTAAGGCTTACGTCAGGAGCAGTGGTCGCCGTAGTAACAGCGCCCGAGAACCCATGTAAGTAAGTAGTAAGTAATCTTTATTTATATACCGCCTTTTCACTGCAGATCTGAGTCTCAAAGCGGTTTACAATTGTTAATTTTGGGCATTTATCTCTCACTCCACACAGAGATGGGAGCGGGGCCAGTACAGGAGGCACATGCCAGACATGCCGATTGGACATATTTTTAGTGGTAGGGGAAACCGGAGTACCCGGAGGAAACCTACGCAGACACGGGGAGAACATGCAAACTCCACTCAGAAAGGCCCTGGTCCGACCGGGATTCGAACCCAGTACCTTCTTGCTGAGAGGCGAGAGTGCTATCTACTCAGCCACTGTGCCGCCCTTATTTTATTGTTATTTTTTATCTGTGAAGCTCAGTTCATACACAAGTTCAACAAAATATACACATGTCAAAACAAGATACACAATTGGAAAGAGAGAAGATCCAATCCCTCAGTCGTATGCACAGCTGAACAGTGTTTTTAACCTGGATGGACCTGGATGGACCTGGATGGACCTGGACAGATCAGGGAATCAGTTCAAACACAGAGAACGCAATCATAAAAACACAGAGCCATTGGTTCATAAAGAGGCAGAAACCTATGTCCAGAAACGCTAAAATAAGTCCAGAAATGTCATTGAATGTGGAGTGAATGTCATCGTCTCTGTCCTTCGAGAAACAGAACCCAGAGAACAGTGAGAAAACTCAGGTGTGTGTTAAGTGTAGTACTGCAAATGTATTGACCTAGAAATAAACTAAATAGAGACAGAGGATTCGCTGAGTATTTACACTTCCAAAACCAAAAGCTATAACGTTGAGGGCACTGCGAGTTCGAGTGATAAAGATCTATTTTCTGCAATTCATATTTTAGTTTCCTCTCGACCCAAAAACAGTTTTTAGCGTCACCATTACCAAACTCCACGTGTCGCTCTCACCAAGGGCAGGCATGAACCGTGGATGCTTAACGGTAGCTCGCGTGAAAAGAAACCCAATTTACACAGTCCCACGGCTTCCAGAATAATAATCATTTGGATCAACTTTGTGTTCACCAATCTGTCTCGCGGCGCTTTATCGCTATCGCTAGCAGCCTCCCACATCCCTCGCTCTCCACAATCCATCCGACCTGGCACGGCTCGGAGCTGTAGCGGCTTCTGGCACCGCTCCCTGCATTATAGTTTCTCTCGGACGCAAGCTCGAGCCGTTCTTTTTCGCTCTAACCTTTCACCTCCCGCAGCGGACGCCCACGGACCGCCAGTGTGTGTGTGTGTGTGTGTGTGTGCGTCCACCCTACGGCGTTGTGTTGCTATACCGTCGGAG